CACAACAAGAATTGCAAATTATCCAGCTTTTCCCTGGGAACTCTTCCATCAAATTCTTTGCTTAAAAAAGACACATTTGAGACATTATTCAACCTTGTAACTTTAATTGCAAAACAAAAAATCGGTGTAAAAATCAGAAACAATCTGAAGCAAATTTCAGCAAATGGTCATTTCTGATACAAAATCAAGCAAGAAAGTTTCAATTACTACTTCCCATACACTCAGATAAAGTGCAAGAAGAAATTTTTGCTATTTGGGCATCTTTTTACTTTCTCTTTTTCCTCCTCCCGATAAACACGTTGCGGCTTTATTTTACCGTACATTTACCGCTCCGATTGTCCATTATAATTATCCACAAGCACAAGAAATTCATTCTCCGAAAAAATCATTTATTTTCATTCTACTTTGTTTATCTAAATGCTTTTTAATTATTTAACCCCTGCTATGGAAAGTTCTGCACACGCAAAGCTGCATGTAATTGAAAAATTCTATAGAGAATACTGCTTTTACACTTGAAACTTGTTTAAGTTAAACTATGCCAGCAGTGGTTTAAAATCTCTTTTAAAATCTTGTTATAATTTATAATTTGGTCTAAGTTCATATTTCATTGAAAGTCTTCAGAGCTCAACAAGCTCTGTAAACTCTTCTCTTAAAATTCTAGACCACAAATCCATTACTACTGAAGAGATACTTTTAAGTTACTTGAGTATAATTCTCACCTGTAATCGAGAAACAATCTGAATGTTAACAAACTATGTTTTAGTCGCACAAAAACCTTTAAAAAGGGGTTATTCATCCAATATTAACGATACAAAAGAAAGAAAAAAAACCCGCAACTGAATTTATATATCATCCAATACTATATTTATATACAGCTCACCTGGCTTTATATTTTTTAAAACCTTTCTTATTGTTTTAGTTTATAAAGTTTTTTTGACTGGAACAACTTAGGAAGTGTTATCAGTAAGATGAGTAGCGAAGCAAAAAATCAGCAAAACCATGAAGAAGTTTTCTGGTGAGGAATTTTGGTATATTATAATTTGTTGTTTTTCCTACACCTTTTTTATCTATTACAAAAAAGAGAATAAAAAAATCTGTGTGTAGAACTGTAGATGTATACGAATTAATAAAGCAGAAGTACAAGTTGAAGGAAACATTTTTTAGAGCAGACACCATAAAAACTGCATTAGAGCCAAATGCAGATTTTAAGTAATTAAAAAGACTTACTTATTATATTTGTTGTCAATAAAAACTACGACCAGTGCACTTATCATATTCCAGTTGATAAAAAAAAAAAAAAAAAAAAAAAAAAAAAAAAAA